TATTAATGCATATATTTTAGATCTTTTTATCTTCACTTTTAGTGATTTTTTAAATAACGGAACTTGATTTTTTTTATTGTCTTTCATTTCTTTTATTATTTATTAAATTTTTAAAATAAAAAAATTAATATGTACAAAAAATGTAATTTATTTATCTTAATATACTTTTATAACCAAAAAATGATTATATGTTTAAAAATTAATTGTTTTAATTGTGTTAAAATTATTAAATTTTTTTATAATTAATTTTTTTAATTGGTTTTTTTAAATTTTTTTTAATTTTCCGAAAAAAATTATTACATGTTTAGAAAATTAATTGTTTTAATTGTGTTAAAATTATTAATTTTTTTTTAATTAATTTTTTTTTTTAATTAATTTTTTCAAATAGTATTTTAATTTTTTTTAATTTTTCGAAAATGTATATTACTTAATTATACACCTTGAATAAATATTTACAAATTATGCAATAATTTTATTTTTATTTAATTTTATTATATTGGAAATTAACTTTGACTTGATTGATTTAAATGAACACTTTTTTGCAAAACAAACATATTAACCAACCTTGGAGTAGTAGAATTTTGCACAATCTTCACTTTTTCACTTAAACTTTGCATTTCAGCATAGAAATCTTAAATGCCTAACGTGCTTTACGTATTGTGTGTGCCAATCGGCAATCGCTTCGTAATTGAGCAATAAAAAATCGGCAAGAAGCAGACATTAACTACAACAAAAGCCAAAAAGTCTGGGTACCAAGTGCCCTACTGTGGCAGGTAAGGGTTAATTACCGTTATGAAAAATCGTATTAAATTGTATTTGTATTTATTTAATTATTTTTATTTTTACTAATATGAAATTTATTTAGTTGTTTTTGCTTTCAAATATAGTAAATTAAATATACAAAAGTTGTTAAAGGACACAGTACCAGGTTGTTGTGAAAATTTCCGCTGCTTGTGAGGTGTCTGTAGGGTACTTCATAGGCATCCATACGCTCGATAGCAATAAATAGCTACTCCTCGTCTAGTTTATATGAAAAGAAAAACATTTACGCTACACTAATTGAAAGCATGAAAATTACCTTACAACGACCTTGCCACCATTTRTCGAACGCTTCGAATTAATTTGTAAAAGTAATTACAAAATTTTTTATCGAACGCTGTTCCTGAGTTCTAAACCTGCGAAGATTCAATTGTAAAGTTGGCGTACTGAGAGCGGGGGAATATTCCATTCTCATCTGGCTGAAGGCTAGACCTCCGCATAGATAACGTTCCAGGCCCTCATCATCTTTCGTGCATGCTCTGCATTCCCCCGAATTCACTTATGCCATTTTTTTGCAGGTGGGATCTTAAGAATATGTGGCCCGTGATGACCCCTACTATGCTACTAAGGTCGCTTTTACCTAGAAATAGGAACTTTTTGGTCTGTCCACCATCAACACTACCCCTRTATTGCTTGTGTTCCTAAACCTGAGATGTTTATTCAGAGTCCAATATTTCAAACAATCCTTGAAGGAGTTGATTGGCTGGGGCAGCTTAGGGGAATTACTGCCCCAGCTGCACTCGGGGGGGCCAGCTCGTTATCTTTTCATTTCTTTATATTCCTATTTGACGGAATGTCCAGATATTTATGGACTTGCTGGTTAGAGCGTTAGCCAACTTGACACCTTCTGTTATGCCSCCGATCTCGGCCTGAAAGACTGAATTGTAGTCATTTAGTTTGAAGCTGCCTTCTGTGTACARATTACTAAAGAAGAAGCCAGCTCATTTGCCTGTTATGTAGTYTTCGGTCTTGGAACAATCGATTACAGAGCCATTTTTCCAATCTTTACTGGGGAATGAAAACAATGTGTTTAGTTGCTCGTAGATCTCGTTTTCTCGGTCACAGTGCAACTTTAACTCGAGTTCATTAACAAGGTATGATACCATGACTGACGCGCCTTGAAGTGCTATGATTTAACAGTCATGAGGTGACCTCACGGTAAGCTAGCTGTTAGCTGGTTCTATAAAAGAAACGGAGGCACAGGGTCTGATCAGTGCTGCGTTGACTGACGCACCTTGAAGTGCTATGATTTAACAGTCATAAGGTGACCTCACGGTAAGCTAGCTGTTAGCTGGCTCTATAAAAGAAACGCAGGCACCATGCCTCGTGCTTTCTGTACGCCTTGTAGTAGACGACCTTGAAGTTCTCTCTGTCGAGAAGAAGTAATAATTCATTAATGAAGAGCAAGAGGGATAGAATGCGATTTTTAAAAGAACGACAAACTAAGCAGCACTCCTTCTTTAGTGCTTACACGTGAGTTGAGGAATTATTTCATCATCAGTTATATCAATTTCAATCAGATGGCAACACTCTAAACTAATTACTTGCAGATCATGTGCGAAAGAAACCGATTTGTGCGTTAATTCAAAATTATTTTTAAATACAAAACAAACATATATATACATACATATGTACATATTTGCATGTACATATATTTAACACATTGTGTTGCGCCTCGCTAAATTTTGTTTTAATGTGATTATGTTATGTATTTATAAATTTGTTTTTTTTTCTTTGTGCAGTCAGCTGGGAATTCTTAAAGGGATATTTTTAGTTTTCGAAAGCAAGCGAAAATTGTCTGCCTTCCTGAGCACACTCACATTTACACCACATTTGGCCAGTCCTGCTATTTACGTGCAGATGAGTATACATATGTATGTATGTAAGTGAAAATACTTGTGTGAWTGAGTGTTGTATGAACGTATGTTTGAATATGCATATGTCTACATATAAACATGTACTGAATACGCATTTTAAAATTCAAAAATTAAATTGTTGCTATTTGTTGTTATTATACTTTTTTAAATTTAATTTCGATGTCAACGTACGATTTATCACGCTAGAATGGGCAATAATAATGAAATATTTAGTATTTTSTAAAATAACTTAGTGTTGGAATGGTGTTTGTGTTGTGATGGACACTCAGTTGTTATTATTGTTTTTTTTTGTTGTTGTTCCGTTCTTCAGCAAAATAATCGCAAACCTGTGTGCTGTCTAAATTTTTGGAGACCTAAAGCGTTGCTTGGTATGGTGTGATATCCGAATGCGACGCCATCTTTAAAAGTGATTTACGTTCATTTAATTTGTAGCAGGCCACCATCATTAATAACAGTTACAGAATGGCCGTCACTGTATGCTGCTTTGTTGTTTGTGCGGTTTGTTGGTTAGCATAAGTGTAATTTAACAGCTGACAATAAATAATATAAAATCTTGATATTCTTGTTGTTGCTAGTATCTTTGCACAAGGTTTATTAATTTTTTTAACACCCAGAAGGGAAAGTCGAATAATCTATAATGTAGAGTAATATATTTATTTTCATGGAAAAATATTCAAAATTCGACGTTGTTGTTGTAGCAGTAGCAATTCTGCTGGCCTCAGTCGTCGGCCGGATAAAATATCCGCGTTCGTTCCTATTACGTAGAACGGTCGGAGGGAACGGGATCTTACGATGTTGTTATTGTTTTAACGAGTACATAATTCCCGCTAGGATRGTAAGAATTAGTTAAGTTGTCGTCRAYGTCATCGAACGGTAGACCCAAGAAACTTTTGCTTTTTCGACAGGGTTCGACCAAAGGGGGAGGGTTGTCAGGTGAATGGRATTGGTGGGGCATGCAAAGAGGCGGCCAGTGTCATGCTTATACTTATTGCACGCTGGGTCTTTTCTAGATAAGTGGGTATCCAGAACGAAGCAGCGCAAGGGTCACTCTCGTTTCCCGCGACAACGAAAGGGAGTCGGTGAAGATGTTGATGGCTGTACTATGAATGGCGGTGAGTGCTTGTCGGAAGTATATTGCGTCCGAAGTCTGGTCAGCGTATTGTCTAATGTCATCGACATAGTTGAGGAATGACCTCATAATGTTCTTATGAGGAGGTTTCGCTCCAAGCAGTTGACTGCAAGGATGATTTTTGCGAAAGGACCCCAGCAGGAACTGCTTGGAGAGGAGTACGCTATGCTCCTTGATTGGGAGCAAACGGACCTCACTATATGGAGATATCAAGAGGCATCCGGTTGTAGACCGGAATGCAGTATTCTGGTCCACCTTTTAAGTCATGGAGAGAGCGATGTCCAGCGTTGTGTGACGGACTGTCTCAAAGGCTTTTGACAAGTCCAAGTTGTCTCACAGGGCGGTTTATGGTTAAAGTATACGAACAATCTGGACGTTTATAACGCTTAATGCTGTGGTGGTACTAAGGACTTTTCGGAAACCATGCTGGTGGTTTGCTAGACTCAGGTGGTGAATGAAGGTCGGGAGTAGCAAGACTTCAAGTGTCTTCACTACTAGGGAGAGAAGASTTAGCGAACCATAGTTCATTTTGACGTCTTACGACTTCATTTCCGGCTACGCTCCAAAAATGCTGTATCCGCCWTGACAGCATAGCTTCTTATAACATAATCAAAAGTAAAAGATGCGTGTGTTTGAAGACCATAAATTAGGTATTGGACAAAGAAACACATATAAAAGGGAAAATTGCTTTTTTGGCAGACGCTTTACAGAGAAGTTGCATATTTTGGTGAACATTTTTCGGTTTTTTTTTTTTTTTTTGAAACCATAATTTAACAAAATCCAATCCTTCTTTCAAGACCTTGTAAATTATAGGAAACAAAAAAAGGAAAAATGTCTTGAGAACCGACTTCGGAAACACAATTCTGAGAAAAAGTTTTAATTGACTCTAGACATATGTAGTATAGCTGAACTCTAGCGCGCAATTTGTTTATAGGTTATATCTCCAAAACTATTGTTGGTATCRACTTGAAAATTTAGGACAATATTCTAGAGATGTTAGAGAATTAATAAGATTTTTTTTAAAGCTTATGTAACCCCAAAACTGAAAAAGCAAATTTTAATTGGTTTTTAAATAATTTTTATTTCATACACAGAAAACTTAAAACTGCTAAAACGCCAATTTATCTTTTTATTAAGTTTCAAACTACAGTACGTTTTGTTTCTTTTCTTTGCTGTTTTTTTTTTTTTGTTTGTTGCTTTATTTTTGAGTTTGCCTTATGCAAAATAAAATCAAAAATATGAATTCGTTGGMGTTTGTTTTCCACTAAATATTATTAATGAGAAAAATTAGCGAACAACATACAATTAGTAATGTTGGTTGTTCTCTTTTTGTTGGCTATTGTTTTTAACCGATTCAAATATTTATGTTTATTGTATTTCGGGTATATGTATAGTTTGATTTTAAACACATAGTTATTAAGAGTCTACATACAATGCCATATGCCTTTTAACATTTGAAACGTTAGCGCTTTGCATTTGCCCCCCAACTTTTGTTACTTTCAAACGTTGCCAACATTTTGTGTGTGTTATATAATAATAATTATATTTATTAATATGTGTAACTTGCAAAATATGTTTACACGTGAGTGTGTGTGTATGTGTGAAAGTGCCAACTAGTAAGGACTTTGAGACATTTTTGAAGACTTTATTACTGTGTTTAAAAAATAATAATTTTCAGTAAAAATTTACGATGGAAAATTAATATWAAAAAAAAAWAATAATTATCACGTTGCCTACGAAGTTAGAATTTATCATTTCCAACTGAATACATATGTATGTATATAAMTGCATTAAATTATATGCAAATACATGTATGTATGTGTGTGTTTGTGTTACAGTTTGTTTAAATTGTTTAAATAGAAAACCACAAAGCCAACTGCGCACTATTGCCGTTACTGCCATTCCTTACAATTATAATATGTTTTTGTTGTTTTTTTTTTGTGTTGTTGTTTCCGTAGCATACTCGTACGCTTTTCTAATGTTTCACTTTTCTATTGCTGGTTTTTCTTTCTACCATCACTCTTATTTTTTATGTATTCGAATAGTAAAAGGAAAACACTACAGTAAAAGTGTTACATTTAAAATATTATAGATTATATGATTATTATTTACTGCGTTTGCCACTACCATTTAAACATCTCGTGGCTTTTTGTACTCTACGTGCTTTTTTTGTATCGTGTGAGGTGATCGCCTGCAAGCTAACAACATRCTCCACCGACAGGTCCTCACCATCACCAACACCACCAATACCACCAACACCAACACCACCACTGCCACCATCTTTGGACACAGACAGTGATGGCGTTGCATCGCTGCTRTTATCAACATATATGTCACTGTCTCCTTTGGCTGACAATGGCATGCTCATATGGGACGCACCATTGCAGYTGCCGCCCTTGGTGGCCGACAGCATGGCCGGACTAACGATAACGCTCCTGTGAGAGCGTCCGCCCACTGTTTGCGGCAATTTAATGCTGCTAGCGGTGTCCTTGCCGCCAAACGAAAYAGTTGCGGCCGGCTCACCAGTCTGTTCAGCGCTTAYAGCATTTCCTCCAATTGTTTTAGATATTGTTGTGGTCGGATTATTTTGTTGCAAGCCATACCAATTGTTGTTACTATTGTTTGCAGCAGTTGCAGTCGTACGTATTATATTGCTACCACGCACGTAATTCAAACGATTTGTCATTTCGCTTGGCAGCGACTGCGCAACGGCGCTCATACGGCAATCATCGGCATCGATASCATTGCTAAATTCTTTAAAATTTTCATTTCTTGTTGTTGCATTTGAATACGTGCCAGCAGSTGGATTTAAGTGACAGCTGCAACAATTAGTGTTGTTGCCATTATTGCTGCTGCTGCTGCTACCACTGGCATAAATATTGAATGCGCTATGACCATCATTACTTGCAGTGGGCAAGTTGGCGGACGTTGAACTGGCACTAAAATGTTGACGCTTAAGTTGATTCTTGTTCACCGTGCTGCTAACAGCCAATAGTTTTGCGGTAGTATCTTTATCCGGAAATGCAAAAACAGATCCAGCTTGTGACGATTGTGTTGTTATTGCTGTCAATGCGCCACTGCCACTGTTCGATACAAGCTTCCCAATGTCAGTGTCAGTGTCMCTTAAGTTGAGTATGATGTCCTCCGGTTTAACACCTTGATTGACCAATGCTTGAAAATCTTCGGGCGGCGGTAGTGACGGTGCCAACTTTTGCCCACATGAAGTACAAATCGGTATGGCCGGACTTTTGGAGCGCCAATATTGTARTTCGGTTTTACACTTATTGAGTTCCTGTCATATCGTGTAAATAAGAAAAATAAATGTTAGCAATAAAAATAGGCGAAAATAAAATCAGCTGKTTTTGATTTGCTTTGCAACTGCATGAAATTGTATTTTACTGCATTTCGTTTTTACCTGCAACAAAGTGGAAAATTTACGTGCTRTCTCTTCGTTTTTCTTATCATTCTCGTCCAAGCGATTGGCGTACTCCAATGTTTGTTTCTGCTGTTCGGCCAACAATTTTTGCTGTTCGGCAATTTGTTTGCCCTGCTCCGATGATTTTCGTTTACAATTACGCAGCTCATTTCGCAATACCGACAACTGGTTATTGTATATTTTCATACCTTGCTTGATTTTACGTATACCTTTACGCAATACCATGTTGCTTTGTGGTGGTGACGTTGAGGCGCTATCCGCATGATCAACAGATGCAACCAAAGCAGCTAGCCCGTAACAATACATACATATATTTTAAAATATCTACTTGTAACTAGTTTTTTTTTTTTTTTTAATATACTTACGTCTTTTTGTGGTGGTGGGCAATTTAAAAAAGTCCTTATTAAAGTAAGCAATATCGGGCAACGTTTGTTCAATACGATCCCTAAAGTATTCCATGGCCATTGTAGAGAGATCAAAAAGTTCATCGGTAACCCGATAAGGACGCTCAAGGCGTGGTGTATTCCTTATGTAAGTTAAAATATTGTATACTTCGTCTAAAATCTGTAAATAATTTTTTTGAAATTGAAATTTAGGTTATAAAAATTAATGGGATAGACTTACGGCTCCTGGAAAGAAACAGCAGTGGCCACGTTCGATATGTTTACCAAAAGTCATTTGTAACAACGACAAACGCATATAACATGTTTCAATTATATCACATTCGCATGCTAACGGATGATTGCGACGAGCAGATTCACGACGCGGCATATTCGCTTTGATGGCATGAAAACGATTATATGTTTGCGTAATAAGACGTGAAAATGTCGAATTCAATATGTCCATACAAACRTCGTTCATTCTGCTAGAAATCTGTAAACAGACAAATAACAGTAAATTTAGTAAATTTTACTTTAAAGCTTTTTAATTGTCTAATAAGCGAATCCATAATAAACTCTAAAAACACTTTTTTTAGGAAAATTTACATTGAATGAAATTTACCTATTAAGCTAAAAAGTAAAAAAATATTTAAAAAAAATTAAAAAATATATTAAAAAAAAACATTAAAAAAATATTTAAAAACAAAATAATAATTAAATGCTATAATATATAGTATTATACAACAAAAGTTATTTCGTAAAATAACATTGCAATATGAGAATAAACTGGATTTGCAGTTAGCTTTCCATACTAAAATTTGATTTTGATTAAAATATTTGCAGCAAATTCTGTCACAATACTTACTACTCTCATTTGTCCAACTTTTCGATAGCCGACATAGGCAAATATTTTGGATAAAACTTCGACGGGCATATCAAGTAACTGCACTGTGACTGTATTCTCATTTGCGGCAGCGGTGGCGGTTGTGTCATTCTCCTTAACCAACTGCTGTTGTTGATTTTGTTGAATGCTCTGATGATGACCACATTGACGTGTAGGCATTGATGGTGCTGCAATCATACCACGTTGAGTTTGTGTGGACATTGTGTTGAGTCGGGCGGAATCTGAAGTGGCACAATTTTGATTGAGTAAGCCGCTGCCACAATTTGTGGCCATTTGACGCGTCGATACCATTTCGCCAATATAAAAAAGGTATAGTTGTATACGCCTAAATATCCACTTTACATGTGTGGTTAAATTTTTAAACAGGAATATTTGCTGACTTCAAATGTCGCTAGAAACTGTAAAAGGCAGAACAGTTAATATTTTGTAACTGCCGTATATATTCTGTGGGTATAAATGTTATTGGTTATTAAAACTTTAACTTAGTTATAGTATTTGATGCGTACTTACCTTATGTTAGCATTGATTTCATGAAATGTAGATAATGATATATGATCAAACTTTTGGCTTTTGGTGATATTGTTACTTTTGTTGTGATTATGATTACAGTTGCATTTACTGCTGCTGCAATTGAAATTGACGACCAAATTATGCTGCTGCTGCTGTTGTTGTTTTAGCTGCTGCTTGGCTCAGCAATTTTTCATGTGATCACTTCCACTTCACCAGCATTGCGTACGCTTTTGGAGCCTCCGTCTCCACTACGTTCTCACTTTATTTAATACTCGTATCACTCTAACAATCTAGTTATATGTGGTTATATATATTAATATGAAGATAGTAGTAAGATGTGTGTATGTTACACGTATATGACATTCATATACATACGTATTAAAAACATGTATTCATCAATTTTGTATACATAGACATACATAATTCGAGGCATATACATAATTTATAATTTACGTGCCTCTAACAAATACATTACATACATAATAGTAAATATCTTAAAAATATATGTATATAGAATGTATATGAGAACTTACCTACGTATATAGAGTGAATGTGCATTATTAAATACTTGAGGTAAGAAGGGTAGGAATGTCCATATTTAAAATAAAAAAAAAACCCATACATATTACACACTATATGTCTTAATACATTAGCTCATATTATTCTGTTAATTTGCAAATTGCATAGTAGAATTTGTAAAAAAATCAATCATTGATAGGCAATACATAAAAATATATGAAATGAATGGTAAAGCTGCACAACTGATGACTGATGACAAAACGAAGTAAAACTATGAAGGTCTATGGAAAACACTTCTTTTCTGGTTTTGTATATGTTTCAGCATAAGCAACAAATATAAAAAAGCACACACATACACGTATAGCTTTTTATATCCGTGATTAAGTACTTTACAATTTCCGCCATGCTAGATTATCTATATTTTTAATGCTTTTGTCTAACTATCKGGTTACGATAACATAGCTTTATAAAAATAACTCGTATATCCTTTTTATCACAAATTTATGAACTATTTCTCTGAAATACCTCTTACTTTGAAGAATTGTGAGTTCCTATTCCAAATGATTGTGACTGTTTCGTTATGTTCACAATACTTTGCTGCTTCGGCGAGCTATTCTACGTCGTTTACACAGCTCTGCTCTGTTGAAGTCTATTGAACCCCTCATCAAGACTTCTCTTGTAAAATAAAATCATACCCCCCTTAAACTATACAATCGAAAACGAAAAAAAAAAACGAAGACCACAAAAATAACCACCGATAAAACTTAAATAAAAGCAATGCAGCAATGATAACGAAACAGAAACCATAAATGTTATAAAAATGAAGAAAACAACGAAAATTGATGGTGATGCCAGCTTATTATAATTTAGGTTCCAGTTGATAAACATCCATTATATACAGGTTGTGTAAAWTGGAAACTCGCTTCCTCAACGAGAAAAAGATTTCTGAGTAATTTTAATTTTGATCATTATAATTTACAGTCTATTCGTATTCAGTTATCACGCAAACATTGTATTTACACTGGTTTAAATCTTTGAAAGCATAATTTTTAAATAAAAAAATCAAAACAAAAGTCTGATCTCAACATAATTGACAAAACACTTTTTAGAAATCGTTATTTTTACAATGGATGTTTGAAAATAAAATATAATTAAAAGGAAATTTCTAACTTATCCAAACCCACCACTCAGTACATCGACTGCTGCACGTTCAATATAAAAATCTATTATTATTTTTTCAAATTTCCCTTCAAAAACATTTCATTACTGGTGCGACAAATATTGGACACGCAGCATTCKCTCAATATGTACTACGATCCAAACAATACAATATAAGTACATTGAATATGTGACAGGCGCCTATGGCAACACCCTTTGCATGAAAGACGCTTTTACTCTCCTCTTTATTATCTTTCAGCACTTTACTTCCTTATGTTTTCTTCTTCCTGGTAAATTTTTCTATACTTTATCCTTATACTTTTCGTGTTTTCAAATACCTATGTAGATATGTATGTATATATTAATAGTTTAATTCCTACAAAAATTTGAGTTTTCGTTGCCAATCAGTCGTCACATATATATATAAATCTATATGTAGATATTCCTTTTATTTACACCGCACYATTAATTTTACGCTAACAAACCTCTTTTAACAAAAAAGTTAACGTACCATTCAATTTTACAAATATTTAGCCCGCAATGTTCATTTTTAGTTCCCACTATTCACTTCTATTTTACACTTTTAATATCATTCTCACTTTTATCTTGGTTAAAATTATTTTAGCTAAGTAATCAATTATAACTAGACGGAATCAAAGAAGCCAAACCGAGGTCGAAAATGAAATAAATCAAGAGCATCAGCAAATCGACAGCTAACCAAAATTGAAAATAGTAGTTTGCACAGGGTTTCCTGTTAACGCAAAGTAAACAATTTTCAAACTGATATTTACATGAAACCAGTTAAAAAGAGATCTAATACTTACGTTGTAAGCAATTGGTTAGTTCTAGACAAAAGCTCTGAATACACAATTACTTTATAATAATTGAAAACTTGTAATAAATCAGGTTTTATTTGAATGTTTAGACATTTTAAAACAACCCTGTTATTGTTTTTAAAATGTTGATTTGTTTACGAATTTATTGAAAAAGCATAACGCCAAAAAGTGAGAAGTGTTACCAAGTATATAAAAATTCATTCCACTTTCAGGCCCGAGTTCAAGCATTGTTTTTACAATAAATTTAACTCAGCCTATCATTCTTAATATATAAATTAATTATTTTATAATATCCCCAATCCAGAACTGTTCTCAGACTAATACCAAAAGTGGCGAAAATACACAGCTTCAAATGGATTTTTTTTTACCTCTACATATTGGTTTCTTTAATTGTGCCTTCTAATTAGATATTGACATAATTAAGTTAATAAGCATTGTTTTAATTAAGAAGATAACACACTTWTAWCTAAACCCTTTCTTTTAATTATTAGTCGACATCATTTTTGTATACTTTAATTTGTCAATAAATAAAAAAAAAAGAATTGTCAATAAATAAAAAAAAAAAGAATTGTTCTAAAATTCTTATTAGTTATTATGTATCTCTAAAATTTTCTGTAATAACAGATTCATAATATTTTTATTTTAATTAATAATAAATTTTAAATTACTAATTTAATTATGTATTGTTTAGAAATGTATTTCAAATAAGCGCTCACTGAAGTAATGCAAAGAATAACGGTCAAATTCCTCTTTTGGATAACACGCCTGGATAATACGCATTTGGTCTTCATAATTTTCCGTCAACTGCTAAATAATTATAAAGAAAATCATTTATTGAACTATCATCATATCTTAGGTATACTAGCATATAAAATGCCCGACCCTTAACTCTTATTTAAAATTCTTCTATATCATTTACTATATAAGTACCTTTTTGACGTCAGCGTTTGAATCGAACGTAAAACATTGCACCTCTAAACGTGATCCTGTTTCACCTTTATCTCGTAAGAGATTATAAAGTTGTAGCAAACTCAACTCAACATTTAGCCATTCCATAGGAATACCCAGCACTCGCAGCTTTTTACAAGCACCAATAAGTTCAAATATATTTAAATCCATATATTCTTCATCACCATTCTCAAAACGGTTTTCAAATATTGGTAAAATATTTTTTATATTTATTAGCAGCAATTCTTCTAAGTTTGTTAAGCTTTTCGCTAAAACATTCTCATCGAATCGATTCACAAAGCGATCCTTCATTATCCATTTTCTTAAATTTGGCATTTTTAATAGAATTTGCATAGGAAAATAACCTATAAAACTATCGCTAATTAGTGTATGTATTCTCGAACCAAATATTTCAATTATCTTGTTATAGACAGACTCGTAATCGCGATCGTTAGAATTTATAAAACAGCCAATCAACTTAAGATTTCTTAATTCAGGTAGCTTATCGGCTATAATATTTAACAGCTCGGCATTTGTGGAAAACTCCTCTAAGGTTTGACATTGAATAATGCTATGAATTTCATGGAAATTGTTATACAGCTTATTGGATTCATCTTTTGTGTAACCAAAACTAAACTTGCGTAGTTTTAAATTTGTAAAAATAGACTGTAAACTGAAATCGCCCGTATAGCAAACGTACTCTAATTTTAATTCCGTTAAAAAATTCATTTTTGCAATGACATTCATATTTATATTGGCGACTAAGTTTATTTTATGCAAATTCGGAAATACTTTAGGAAATACATCTAATGCATTTGTTTCTACAATCTCAGCATCAGCTATTAGTGTTTGTGYATTAGGAAATACATAGCTTCGCAAAATATCCATATCATCCGTTCGCAAGCAGCCTAAATCCAAATCTTCAATGAAATCATGCAAATGATATATCATCCATAGAAATGCTTTYTCATTTTGACAATTCGTGTCATATTTGCTCCATTTTTTGTATTTATGATGCCAATAAATATTTACTAAGTTATTTAGACGCATACACACACGTTTTAATTGCAATTGATCATTTTGGTTTAATAATGTTATAATGTATAAAATACAATCATCGTTCAAATTCAGCATTTTGTAGTGGATATGAACAATAACATTTTCACTTTATTTACCAATGTGCGATTTATCATTTACGATTCGGTGACATTCAAGCAGAAGCTATGATTTCCAATTGCCATCCGCCGACATCTGTTACACAAAATTGTATGTATTATTAACTAAACAAGCATAAGTAATAAAAGTACTTACTTAATTACACGCGTAACTAACCGTTGTCATAAAATTACCAACTTATTGGTTTTGAAAGCATTTATTGRCAAAGCGCTTGTTAGCAGAATTTTKATTCAAAATTGCTGAAATATAAACAAAATGTAATTTTTTTTGTTTTGGTTCACTTCAAGTTGTTAGTAATTATACCATACARGTATCGAACGTAAATTACTCGATCTATCGATGTTTGCTATTTTCTCGATTGTGTTAAGCAATCAGCTGTTTTCAACGGATTTACCGATTTAACAGTACGCGAAAGTAGGTTGCCACTATTCTTACAATAGTAGTAGTTGTCAGTAAATTGTTTTATTTTCTAAAAGTAAAAACATAGSATCATTTAATAATGAAATAATCTAAAGTCAATGTAAAGTGCCTCTTCGAAGCGTTTTTATGCCCTGAACAGTTTATATTAAGTTGCCACGAATTTTGTAACCAAGTAATACTCAGATGGAAACGTCGGCTTTTTTTGAAACAACRACATATTTACATTACGGAGTTCATTAGTGTGATAATAAAGAGCTTATAAACTTCATAATCCACCTCGTTGTCAAGGTTTTGTTTTAATTTTCGTACATCTTGGTATTGATCTAGTTCCTTTAACTGTGTCTAAAAATATTAAACCAGATCATTAAAGGTCTTTTAAAGTTAGCTCAAATTACAAACCTTAGACACACTTTTAGATGCAACACCTTCGAAGCATATAACTGTCAGAATTCCAATGTATTTTTTCAAGTGCTTTAAACCCTTSACAAGTGTGTTTAAAATTTATCTGATCATGCTGATTTAATCTTGTTAAAATTATAGTCAAACAATCGTGATTAAGGTCTATAATGGAAGCTTAAACGGAGTAATAAATGCATAATGTGATTAATAGTTAAAATCGAGCTTGGTATTGAAAATATTTGTATACAAAATATTTAGGTTTATTTACCTTTAGAGGCCATGTTGCTTCAGTATCGCTGTGATGCACACGATTCAATGGATTACAAAAATTAAACTGTACGATTACTGTCACTAGCACGAGAAACTATGTACATACATAAATGCAAGTATCGGAACTTCATTTTGAGCAATACTTTGTTATTTCTTTCTTTTTTTGCAATTCAAATGTGTTGCGTAGATATTGCAGTTTTCTATTGTGCAATTTTTATAGGGATTTCAAGTTTTCAAATAAACAAAAACAATTTAAGCTTTAACTTTAAAAATATATTTTTTTATATTATCACCATTATTATATTACTAGAGAATAATTGTTACAATTAAATCAACGCTTAAGCTTTTTATTATTAGAATTCATCGATTTAATTTGTTGCACTAACCAATGAACACCATCTTCTAGGCCTTCGCCTGTCACTGCATTGCTTGGTGTTATATGCCAAGGCTTATCCACAATATTGTGTAAGCCCAATGCTAAGTAAACAAAACAGTAATTATAAAAATTAAAAGTAAAGTATATATACATAGTTAAGATCTGCACATATTAATTAACTTTTATATTTAGTTACCTGCTGCTATTTTTACACTAGACAAAGAATCTTCGCAGTCCACTTTATTATTATATAAAAGTATGGGTATACTTCTATTTACTAGATCGGGATGTTGCAGAAGCGTGTCTAGTTCGTCTCGCACCACAACTACGAACAACAGATGATGGAATAAAATTAATAAAATAAGCTTTGATTTTATAATATAAGTAACGATTTTACTCTAACTAAATGTTTGTTAATTTACTTTATCATACAATGGAATATGGCGCAATATAAATTTTGAAAAATAAAAACCAACAACATTTAAACCAAAAGTTATTAAAATTTTATATATACATATCCATGTATGTTTCGTCTAAAAATTATTAAAATTGTATATATAGTATATAAAACGATTTAAAAAGTAAAAAAAAAAAATAGAAAATATTTTCCGTATCATTGTGATTTTCATGCCACCTACCCAATCTCATGCGATCGCTTGAGTCAATAACGTATATAATACCATGACAATTTTTAAAATGATGCTCCCATAGGCTTCTATAACGCCATGCACCAGATGTATCTACCATTGTAAATAAAACGCCTTCACCTTTGTTTTCAAAATAAACAATTAGCAGTTAGGTATTTAACATATGCTTTTAAATAATTTACTTCTTATTTGTTCTAATGTAAATCCCACTGTTGGAACTGTAATTGCAGCTTGCTCATGCGGCGACTTAAAGTGGTTTATTATTGTTGATTTGCCACTATTGTTTAAGCCAATGACAAGAATTGTAACTTTCTCAGATTTATTTTTAAAAAATGTCGAAATCTTTTTAAACATTCCCATTTTTCAACTTTATATTCGGTTTTTTAGTTTTAATTATTTTTATTCTTTTTTTTTGTTAGGGCATTTACCTACATTTTTGAGTGATTATGGAAAAACAAATTTCGTTACTATGGCAATTATGACATAATATGAGCTAGCGAACATTGCCAGAAWTAGCTCAAACAATAATTAAATATTCCGATATTTATTTATAATTTTCATAATTCACATGAATTATAGAGATTTAATATCTTAAATGCATTAAAAACAAAATTTTTTATTGCTCTACATGCATTATATCTATAAAATGTATTGTTTTATGAATCATTTGTTTACATACAACATTTTATAATTTAAAACAGGGAAAATGTATTGTAAGCATACTGCAGCTATTAATTATGTTGTATTAAATATGTTAATAAATAAAGTAATATAATTACAGAAGCTCTATGTAATTATTGTATGAAAAATATTTACAATTTCTGTAAACCTATCAGAAATAAATTGTGTTGCCATATGCAATATCTAAATTGTCATATATATCAATAGGTGGCAGGCCGCTCATATGCTGTTGACGTCGTTGCGACGAATACCTGAATTTAAAGATGGCGACCATCTTTTCGCTCGTGTGAGTGCCATTCGTACGTATATCTACAAATTTTGGGAAGATCCTGCAGACTGCAGTAATTTTAAAGTGAAGTAAAATAGTTTTTTTTGCAGATTAAATTAATTAAAATAGTAATTGAAAATACCAGAAAGGTGTGTATCGCGAATTTTTGTTAAGAATACGATTGATGTGATGTTGATAATACAAAAAACTGTATAAAGAAAAGTGCATAAGAATTGTGTGGCTAAGGTGTGGAAGTTGGTAAATTTTCATTCGGGACGTTCGCTAATGACCCGTGGCATATATTTCATATTGTAAGTGTTCGCGTGTGAAAATCAATCTATAATTTTCGTATTGTCATATTTATTTCCTGGGCAATTGTTATAAAAATAAAGCCCATTTAAGAACGGGCACAATCGAGAGAAAAAACCTGCAGATACATCATATGTATAAGTAAAAGAGGAAGAAGATATCGCGTCGAAGTTCGTGTGACGTCGACTTCAATGCTTCTGAGTCGGCCTTGATACTGCAGCGGTGTGTTGATGTATCCGATCTGTACGAAGCATCAGAGTCTTATGTTAAAAGAGAAATCCACTAATTTTATAATATTTGTAGTGACTGATTTCAAGTATAGATTTAGTATATTTTCAAGTCCTCTATTGAAATTCTTACAAATTAAAATTTTGGAAATTTGGAATATGAAATAAAATTATGTAAATGGTAAGTGAAGGAGGATGGGCGTAATAAAAATAATCAATAATATGAGGGCAACCCACTTCTATTATCAATAATTTTAATACGAAAATTAGAGAACCATAATCATAGCTTTATACAATATACTAATTATGAATGAGTTCTGATATGTTGACGTTTGCCAACCAGCTATTCACATCAGCTTATTATTTTTGCACAATTTTACTGCTAATGAAAGGTCTCAGTTAAATTACTTAAAAATCTTTCTAGTTTAGAAGAATTATTAAAAGCCTAGATTGAGTGGAAATTTGGTTCTTGTGCCAAATATTAGGATATAGTATGTATGTACATAAGGCGTGTATACACGAATACACATTTTACCTTAAAGTATTTGGTGAAAAAGTAAGGAAACTTATTAACTAGGTTTCTTTGTCTTAACATAAAAAGAAATGGAAACGCAAGCAAATCAAAACGGTAAAAAAGAAAGGTCAAATTGTTATTGGAAAACTAGTTTAATGTTGATACCTAAAACAGGGGTGTATAACAAGCATACAAAGAGAATYGCACACAGTAAAGTTTTATTTGTTTTAATTATTGACTACATAATTGCTTAAAGTAGAACATGAAATGAATATAATAAATATATAAATAGTTTCCTTGAATTTATTATTGAGTTGGATAGAAAATATTTATGGATTTTTAAAACTTATATAAAATATACATACGTATATATCAACTGTTTATACCATATTAAAAATAATTAAATTTTTTCCGTTTTCCGTTCTAATTTCTTTCATTTTTAATATATTAAGATATCTGGGATGAATCATTTAATTTTGGTAAATRATATTGAACAAATTGTGGTAATTTTTTTGGAGAAACTAATATCATGCAATAGAGGAACATGTAAGAGTCGTTCTCGTAATAATGTGCGCAGTATAACACTGCTCGATCGCATTGTATCATGTAAAATGGCAAATTTTCAACGTTCTTCCTTTTGTTTTTATTTATTAATGGAAGTACATAACTTGCTTTTGGCTGGTGACAAATGTTCACTAAGAGAACTTTTTTACAAAGATCCGGCCAATAATTGCAAAACTATCAATATTTGTAACAGTTTAAAAGATGTCTGTGTACTTTTACGGTCAACACCATGGAATTTGGGCATCTCCGCATCTGGAAAGGGGTTAATTGCAGGTTTTATTTAATAATTATATAGAATATAAAATATTTTTTGTTGTATTAATTTCTTGTTTTTATAGGTTCAATACGTATGCTTATGATAAATGGTGACATGATCGACTGTTACACCCAAACCGGCGCTGTTTTACTACCTCAAGATCATAATGCTATCAATTATTTGGAAACAAGTGCATCATTTGTACTAATTGTCGAAAAAGATACCATATTTTCTAAATTCATATCACAGAAAATATTTGAAACTATTGGAAAAGATATAATTTTGATTACTGGAAAAGGTTATCCCGATTTATGTACGCGTCACATTGTACATCGCCTTTCCTTTGAGCATAAGCTTCCAATCTATGCACTTTGTGATGCCGATCCATTTGGTATCGATATCTTATTAATCTATCAATATGGATCGCGAAAAATGCCGTATGAYATTTCAAAAAATTTAATATGCCCCAAAATGCAATGGTTAGGCATTCATCCAAGTGAACTGTATATGTTTAATTTTTCAAGCGCGTCACTAAACAAGTTCGATAATCGTAAACTTGAAAATATATTGCGTTATAATTATTTAAAACCTGCCATACGTGCAGAATTGCAAATAATGCAACTTTTACAAAGGAAAGTCCATATCGAYGAATTACATTGCATTGCACAAAAATTTCTCATTAATGATTACTTACCGAATAAGATAAAACGTAATCTTGTCATTTGAGTGAATATCGAATAAGAACTAAGTTCATAACAACAGTATAATGTTGAAAGTAAATCAATAAATATTTGTTTTTATTATCTTCCATGTATAAGTTTTATTGAAATCTTTAGAGCTACAGTGGGTCGCCAGTACAAAAAAAAATAGGTTGTCAGATTTACTTCAAATTTGCATTGAATACTTCTAAGATTTTGTGTCTTAAGAAATTACAAGAAAAAAATCATTTCAGAAATCTGCCTACCCCTAACCCCTTAAGGTAGGCTTTGTTTGTAGTGTGCGTTGACCTTTGTGTTCTAATTTGATTTAAAATATTGGTATTTGTTTTTGKAGTTAACAAATGTAAATCCTAAGATTTGATATAAATTCACCATAAATGAACTCTACATATGTGAATTACCCTTAAATCGATTATTGCGTGCGACTAACCCTGAATACAACATAAAATAAACATGATATTACTTTGGTAAATTCTCCTCCACAACGAAAATGCAACTCGGTTGACAAAATGTACAATTTCACTAATTCGTTGTATTTAAACACACCTTAGCCACAATTGAAAAAGCATTTTAAYTCCGCGAAAACAAATCTGAAAAAAATTTTAACATGTATATTGTAATTACTGTTTCTCATACATTTATTTATTTCATATCTCTTCCAGATGGTCGTTAAATTTATTTAGTGATATTGCAGCTAGGGCTTGGTGAACATCTATATGTAAAATTACACATTTTTGGTGTTCACTGATGCCAAAAACTAAACAAAGTATAAAGACTGTTGGTACAGCGTTAGAAGAGCTTTGGCAGCGATATAAAGAGCATAGTGGTGGCGACGAATACACACATCTATACTATACACTTACAAGACGGGAAAAGGCAACCGTTTAAGCAAAATTGTATCCACATTTTTGTCTTGTATTAGTTTAAGCTTAAGTTGGCGTTGTTTGAAATAAAATGTCTGCTACAATGCGAGCGACATTACAAACAGTTCCTGAATCCCTACCAACCGAACATGTGTCCTCCAYAACGGATGCATCTGCGGTGCCGTCAAACACCCCAACGACAAATTCTTTAACGGCCACTACCTTAAACACTTCGCAACAGCAGCAACAACAACAATACAATAATAGTACCATCAATAGTTCAGTGCATTCAGTCAAGGATCAACAACATGACTCGGCAAATGCCAACATTATTGCACTGCCACAAACTACAACAACTAGTGTTGTTGTTGCCACAACAACAGCAACTACACCAATTGTTGCGAGTAATGTTCCAACAAATACGACCGTGAATACAACATCCCAATCGCAACAACAGCAACAAACACAACAACCGCAGCAGCAGCAACAGCAACCACAACAACAACAACACAGTCATCAACATCAGCATCACCATCATCTAGTGAATAATGCGACAGCAACAGATAGTGGTGGTCGATTGCCACCAAACAATACGTCTTCAAATGCGGCAGTTATAAATCACCATCAACATCACACTTCTGGCATAACAAGTGTTGGTGGAGGTGGTGGTGGCGGCGGAGGAGGTGTAGGTGTTGCACCGCTGCCTGTTGTAAACAAAAACATTTTGGCTTCACACTCGAATTCGGCGTCGATGAAACAGCGAACCTCTTCAGCTAAGGTAAGTGGCCTTTTAATTTTAATTATACACATACACACACATGTTTGTAAACATACTATCTGTTACCAGTTACATACATATAACGACATACTACATACCACGTAGATGTTGCTTAGATTTCATTGTGAAACTTTTTTCAAAATTTCAGTAATGATTTTRCCACTCATACAACTAAGCATCATACCCCCAAATAGTTGCGTACACAATTCGATAATTCCTTCAGTACATGMCGTTGCTGTGTAAATATGTACATATGTGTGTGTATGTAAATTCATACATACATATATATGTATAACCGCTTGTTAATAATTATGTATATTTTTTTTCAATGAAATAATTCTGAAATTAATCTAAAAATAATTATGAAATAT